GTGAGTTGATGTGGCGCAACTCCTCACCACGGCAAGCGGCTGCCTTGCGACCGCGTCTTTGTCTGCAGCACTGGCGGTCGCTACCCTCACGTCACTGTCCTCACCATGAGCAGCATCGCATCACCACTTTGCAGCGACAACTTGCCGTCGTTGTCGCAGCGCAGCGGTGCCCCTCACTGTAGCAGCATCCCTCCGTCAACCGGGGTGGAAGAAGGTAGGAAGATAGGGGAGGCTTTGCAAAGAGGAGAGAAGGTTGGAGAAGGATCGAGGAGAGAGGAGGATTTACCCCGATTCAGAGGAATACGACTCGTCAGAGGAAAATGATAAGATTTGCGAGGATGGGCGGTGGTAGGGCCACAAGGACACGTGTCAATGCCTCGAGGAGGCTTACACGCGTTGTAATCAGCCAGTTGTTTATAAACGTTTTCCATTTTCTTATGTTTTTGGTAGGACGGGTACTTCTTTGGATAGCTGTGTTTGTCACTCTGAATTTCAGTACACATATACTGAAATGCAATAGTGCAAGGGTGTAGCTAGATCTCAATCAACTAAGATTTAACCAAGTCTCGGTTAAGACATCATCATGTTAGGACAGATACTTTTCCGGTTAAGACATCATCATGTTAGGACAGATACTTTTCCTGATAGCTGTGTTTGTCACTTTGAATTTCAGTACGCATATACTGAGATGCAATAGTACAAGGGGGTGTGGCCAGATCTCATGAGATTTAACCAAGTCTCAACCAAGACATCATCATGTTTAGATACAAATAACATATAAAAAGGAAAATACCTAAAAATGTAAGATCTCAAGACAGACCACACTAAGATATACAAACCGTCTGAATTTGTATCGAGGTAAAACAGAGGTAATAACATATAACAAAATTCAGCCGTCTGAATTTGTATTGAGGTAAAAAAACGGAGGCCCAGTTGGAATACAGGTATTCTTATTGTTTCTGTGAGTAATGAACTGTTCAGTTCTGCACGCCAAAGCAGACCTACCCTGAAGGGTTTATTCTATACACAGAGATTACAAGCGAGCTGGACAATTGATCCAGCAACACATCTATGCTACGTTTTCTAGTCAAAACGCTGCATTTCTAAGCTAATGTCGGCAGGGCAGAGAGTTGAGCTTACTCCAGATGCCCTGATTTGCCGTCACCAGTCTTGGTAAAGTCACCCAGAATCACCGAGGGCCGGCTGCAAAACCGTCGCCTTTTGAACCCAAGGGCCGCGCCGGAGGACCCTGGGTGTGCCCTGCCGCGGCTGGGACTACATTGCCAGAGCTGCATTGCCAGATGTTGTTGGCACAAGTGCTAGTATCTGGCTCTTGACGACGGCGATGTAGCTCTCTATCTCGCTGTAGATCGCGAGGTTCTCTGGACAGCTTGGGCGCAGCATCGAAAAAGCACGCTCCAGCACACCTGCTATCTTGGCAGGCGGGTGCCGATGCTCGCTCAGGTCCTGCGCGTAATTGGACAAGGACAATGAAGCGAGATATAAACTATAGTAACCATAGATCATATGGTAGGAGATGGGATCTGTGGACATTTTACCTTGATTGCAATAACTGTAGCAACACAGTTCTCTATCAGGGTGGATGGAAGCTGGGCATCATCAAGAGTAGACTCAGAATCCAGGCTTATACATGGTGTTGCTTCTTCCCCAGATTCATTACCATTTCCATAGCTTGCCTAAGCAACGGAAATCAAACAACATATTGAGTCTAAAAATACAATGATACCGTAATTGCACAGAAGTTGAGAGTTGCCAGGACTTGAACTTACCTGCATGACTTCACCAACCATCTGTTTGGCTTGTTTAAGCGATTTCTGGACAAATGCAGTAACATGAGAATCCAGTTCATCACTCTGACCACTGTTGTTGTTTGAGCGACCCCTTGATTGTAAACTGTCGGCGGCGGACTGAAGTGGGTGGAATGGCGGCAGTGTAGATCTACAAATGGTGGTACTCTTGCTGGGTAGCAGTTCACGGCCCACAGAAGATGAAGCCTGTCGATAGATAGATTAATCAGAACTAGCCCTGAAGTACTACTACAATCACAAGTAATTGGATTTTATAGAACAGTTCGAGGACCAAGCAGTATTTGATGTCCACGATCATAAATATTACCCCCTTCCAAATTTGCTTGTCTTGGATTTATCTAGATATATCTAGACAAATCTAAGACAAGTAATTCGGGACGGAAGGAGTATACATTAGCTTTAACTTACATACAAGCACGGCATATTCAACTTTGACTAATAACTACGCTCCTTAGAAAATATAAATTTGGACAGAATAAAACCTTATGCTGTTCATCTGATGTTACCTGTCGACTACTGGACGACTCAGGTACGGAAATGTCATTCATGATATTGATATTACCCCAGCTCTCCTTTGAAGTAAGCTCTGGAATGTGCTCAAAATCCGGTTTGCGGTGTGCATTATTTGAGAGGGAGCTCCTCTTCTTGAGATCGTCAGGCAGATTATCCAACCAGTTTACAGGCATACAATCAGTGTCCTGGAAAAGAATAAGTTCAGTTATGCATTTCTGGGTATAAAAATATATCATTCACCTTGAGATTCTTGAATGACTACATCAAGGAAGTACATGTGCTTCTCATGATAGGAATATAACTAATAGGATTATCCAACCAGTTTACAGGCATACAATCAGTGTCCTGGAAAAGAATAAGTTCAGTTATGCATTTCTGGGTATGAAAATATATCATTCACCTTGAGATTCTTGAATGACTACATCAAGGAAGTACATGTGCTTCTCATGATAGGAATATAACTAATAGGAATACATAGCAAACGTGCAATGGTTGCATGCCAAATTACAAAAAAGTAATTGGTACTCCCTCTGTCCGGAAATACTTTTTATCCACTTCTAGGACAAGTATTTCCGGACGGAGGGAGTATGTATTAAAACCACATCTACTGAAGGCTGTCGCCAAATTAGCACTTTTCAATGGAAACTGCTTAACATGGTCATAGTCGTTGTATGTCAAGGACCAAAAGCTTCAGCCCACATTGGAAGGGTAATCATGTTTACAGACTAGGAAAGCTTATTCTTCCTTTCCACAGTGCAAAACTAATAGCTGACCTCTTCTGCCACATAGATAGACGGCATACTTAATTTCTAAATGTCTAATTGCCTACAAAATGTAACAATACTGATAATTGTTGAAGAAAATAAAAATAACAAATACATACCTTAATTATATCAACACCTAGA